CGCCTGAGGAGGAACCCCCGAGACGGCGGGGTGCCCTGGGCACCCGGCACCGCTCCCTCCCCTCTCTCCCCCCCCCCGCCCCCCTCTCGACGTCGGTTGCCCTCTCCCCCTCCTCTCTTTCTCCCGCCTCCCGATCGCTGCTGCCACGGCCGCCTTCCCCCTGCCCCGCCTTCTTCCCTCCCTGGTGCATCTCCCTTCCCCTCACTGCCAGACGGCCGCCGGGCGCGCAGGTCTTCCTCTGACTGGAGCATGTTCTGCCTGCCGATCGCGGCGATTTGCTCCAGCGCAGGTGCGTGGCCCACATTGACCGGGCTCGTCCGTGGCTTGTGGCGCGTTTCTCGCTGTCGGCCTAACCCCTCTTGCCCCTCCTCCTGCTCCGGCGGCTCACCCATCCACGACCAGCTTGCTGCTGCGCCGGGGGCGTTTGCAAGCTCTGCTGCTGGTCCTTCCGCGTCGGCTCCTCGACCGCCACGCGGCTAGTTTACTCCGTGGGCCTGATTTTCACAGCCATCCTCGCTTGGGTCCTCCGGTACGCCGGACCTGCGCATCGCCCCATCGCCCTTTGCTTTGCGCCTTGCCTCGTCACAGGCACACCGTCTGACAGTGTCTGCTCCCGGCGCCTCTGGCTGCATGTCTTTTCTTGCCTCTCTCTCTCTCTCTCCCTTTCTTTCTCCCTGCTCCCTCCCCGCCCTCTTCCCCCCTGTCCCTGTGGGATGCTCCACAGCAATTGGGGCGATGTCATCTTCCCCTCCAAATGGCAGACCTACTGCCAGGGGGAGTGCTTCTCGGTGCTGGCCGTCTACCGGGTGTCCTTCGGCTTCCTGCTCTACCATCTGGGCATGTGCATTTTCACCATCGGTGTCACGACAAGTCGCTTCCCGCGTGCCATGTTCCATAACGGGTATGTCGTCATGTCCCCACGCCGGGTGCCCTTTTGCCGCTTCCCCCTCGCCGCCATGGCCAGCAATGGCCATCCCGATTGTCGGGTACGGCCATGCGCACTGACTCCGAGGTTCCTCCGCCTGCGCCCCACAGCTTCTGGCCCATTAAGGCCATCCTCTTGGCCGGCCTGATCACGGCGGCCTTCTTTATCCCGGAGAACTTCTACCGGTACTATGCGTACATTTGCATCGGCCTGGGCATCATCTTCCTGCTGGTCCAGACGATCATCGTCATCGACACGGCACACACCCTGGCCGAGAAGCTGGTCGGCTACTATGAAGAGACCCAGGACATCTGCTGGCAGTTGGCCCTCTACAGTCTGGTGATCATCGCCCTTGGGACCCTGATTGGCGGGTCGACCATGCTGTACATCTACTTCGGCAGCGGCCCCGGCTGTGGGCTGAACATCTTCTTCATCACCTTCAACCTGGTGGTGTGCATTGTGCTGATGCTGTGCTCCGTGCTGACTGTCGTCCAGGAAGCCAACCCCCGGATGGGCATCCTCCAGCCGAGCATCATCGCCATGTACCTGACGTACGTGGTCGCCAGTGCCATGGCCAGCCAGCCGGACGACTCAACCTGCATGGCTGGTTCCGGCAGCATGGGGGTCTGGGGCGAGGTGCTCATGTACTTTGGCTTCATTTCGACCTTCGTCTTCCTCGGGGTGGCGGCCTTCAGCTACGGGTCGCGCGATGAGCCCTTCTCCGCATCCGTCGGTGTACGTCCCTCGGAGTGCACATGCACCGGCGTTCGTTGCCTTTGCTTGGCGTGTGCCGATCGTGACTGACATCGCCCCTCGTTGCTCGTCTCTGCCCCCTCCCTCGCTCCCTCCCTCCCATGCACATGCATATGCACAGAGCGCCAGTGGCTCCGACGATGAAGACGAGGAAATCGAGGGCACCAAGTACCACTACTACCTTTTCCATCTGGTCTTTGTCCTGGCTGCCGGGTATATGGCCGTGCTGCTGACCAACTGGTCGATCTTGGTCCCGAGCACGGGCAATGGGTCGAGTGCCGTTGGGTCTTTGGCCGTTGGCAGTCTCTTTGGCAGCAGCGAGGGGGTATCGGCCGCGGCCAGTGCCGCTGGACTTGCCCTCGGCCGGCGTCTGACCGCCCTGGCTGCCCTGGTCCGGCGCTCGGACTTGGCCATGATGCTGCTGCCGAAGCCGGTGGCCCTGACGGTGTCCGCCCTGGGCAGCCTGTCGGGCAGCGAAGCCGGCATCCTCGCTGCGGACAGCTCCACCTACTTCGATGTTGACCAGGGGATTGGCTCCATGTGGGCCAAGATGGCCACCAGTTGGCTCATTTCCTTGCTCTTTGGCTGGACCCTCTTTGCGCCGGTCATGTTCCCGGACCGCTTCTCGGACCTCTGAGGCGCCCCTGGCATGCGCGCGCACGCGCGCTCTCTCTCTCTCTCTCTCTCTCGCCCCCTTCTCTTCCTCTCGGCCGGCGTCGAATGGCCTCTCCTGCGTGCTTTCCATCCCCCTGTCTCCTTCTTGTTCGCGATCCGGCTCACAGGCTGAGCCGTCGCACGCCCGCCAGCACGATGCCCCCCTGTGGCGATCCTCCATGCGTGCGCACGGAGTCACCGATAACCGCGCTCGAATGTGAATGCGCGAGTAGGAACAAGCGCTGGCGCCATTTGCGAGAGGTCCACACAATCGCCGTGTCTATGTGTGCCGTGATTGCGGCGCGGTTGCTGCGCCGGGCAATGGGGGGGGGGGGGGGGGGGGGGGGGGGGGGGGGGGGGGGGGGGGGGGGGGGGGGGGGGGGGGGGGGGGGGGGCGGGGCGGGATAATCGCCCAAGAAGATGCCCCCCCTCCCCGAGACCAGACACACCCACACGGTGCCCGAGAGCGCGGAGGCGTTCCTCGCCCGAAAAGAAAAGAAGACGAAAAAAATGACAAATACACCATACTATAGGAAGAGGATCAGTGGCTGCCTGCATGATCTGGCATGTGGGGGGGGGGGGGGCGGGCATCCGGTGGGCGACTGGCCCCCGGAGTAGTGGCGTGTACGGCCGCCTGGCAAAGCACAGTGCCCGGGAATTATCCTCGAGGAGTGGGGAAGTGAGCGAGACGGACTTGGCCCGGGGGCCCCGTGAGATTCCGCGAAGTCGCACGGCGGGGCACCGCCGAAAACCTGCGTCGCCAAAGGCTGCCTCGTTCTCCGCCCCGCCCGGGGGC